TCACTCGAACACCGGCCTCACAATTCAATGGTTCGTCTTCAAAGTTCGGATATTCTTTCTCATTGTTATTGTGCCAAGAATCATTCTTGAAAACCCAGTTCCATTTCTCTGACATACACTTGGTGGAATCTGATTCAAAATCATTATTCACTTCATCGTCATGCAATGAATCATTTTCGATCAATAAATCGTGATTACCAAACCAAAAGTCACAATTACAAAAGAAATTCCATTTCTCTGGTACACCATATTCACCGGGATACACTTTTTCGATATAAAGTGCCATCAAAAGAAGTACAAATGATGTCATCAACATAAAGTAAATGGTTGTTCCAACTGCGATATTATTCTCGGTTATTGGATAGCTCCAAAAATTCGACCATTGCAATCCATGGCCATTTCTCTCGAAATCAACAATTGTTTTGAATCCATATGACATTGCGACATTCGGTGAAACGCAAGCCAACCATTGCACCAACGTCGGTACATTCACATGATTTATTGTGAGAAACACAAATGGCATATAAGAAACGAACCATATCAGTCCGGATACAGTGGCAGCAGTATTTGCTTTCGAAAATAGGACACTTAACATGAAACAGTATGTTGTTATTGCAACGCTATACACAAGCAGAAGAATCCAAATGGCAAACGAATTTGAATTTGTGAAAACAGCAAAAGAAGAGTCACAAATCTGCGTCTAAAGTGTAAAAGAAAAAATCGATTAAAAAACGGTTCAAAATTCGATAAAATTCAAAATTACCTTTAGCAGTGCGACTAAAAAAGTGTTAGATATTAGCAAGAAGGTCATTGTGCGCACAAACCAACTGGTCCAATGTAACCAAACTGGCATGCCCATAATTTTCATAATTTCTTTCAATTGTTTCTCCTTTTCCACGGCGATAAATCGAACGGTGCTGATTATCGAATACACAAAACTTAACATTATGAATAGCCCAACGGATCCTTCCAAGCCATCGAAAAGAATATCATTTGTGTATGGCGGGTACGGAAATCGTTGCATCTGAATGTTCGACGTATGTGCACTGTCATTGCTACTCAATGTCATAAAGGCATTTGCGATTGCATTTTGTATTGATAGAAATCCTTCGGAAAAGTAATTTGGAGCACCGCCTGTATCGCTTGACTTTTTACGTGGACCACCACCCGAAAATAATGGATATTGCATATTTGTTTGCCAATGAAATATCAATGGATCTAATGCGTTTCTCAATTCACTTGGAAAACGTAAGGTATAAACAAGATTCTTCGGCAGTTTGGTTATATTCTGTGAATTTTCAAATAAATTAGATGATTTTTTGCTGTCGCATTATAGAAGTCACATGATGTTATGTTTGAAAAATACTTACAGCATCATGATCGAATACAACGCCAGCCAAGAACTCATGCCTTGCTGTTATATTCTCAACTTGTTCTGGTCTATCCACACCATGGAATGGACTAAGTCCAAGATCTCTAGCCACAATTCCGAGCAATTCTGCTAATACAATATTTTTGGGTGAATATACTAATGAAAAATTCATTAGGTGATTGTCAATTTTCGTATCACTAAAAAGAGAACAAATGGAAAATAAGCAAATGACATTTAAAAAAAATCTAAACATAAAGAACCAACTAGTATGAAGAATCATTTCTTATAAAAACTCCAATTACTTTCGATTTTGCAAAAATACACAACGATCTTAAACATCGTAAATGTTAAAGCGTTTATTTATTTATTTTTGTGTGCGCGTCAACAAAATCGTTGTTGTGGTATTGTGAAACAGTGCACATGCCAATAAAGTATATTCCACTGGTCGTATGTCCGCAAGTGTGTTCATATGGTGTTTGCGACGCGTGTAATTGATGAGTCATAGGCACAAAGCTACATACGCTGTTATCTAAATATATGGGTTTAATGCTCGGCGTTTTTGCTTCAATTAGTTAAACGATTTGATGATTCAAATTGAAACGAAGTGATTTCAAAAAATAAAAGCACAGCTTTTCAACGAGAACTATGAAAAACCGGCTACATGTTAGCAGTTAAACTCGCAAAATTATTCTAACATTCAATCAATTTTTGAATAAATAACACTTAAACTCATTCGATCACGCATATTTTTGTGTGTAGAGATTCTCAGATTTGAGATAAAATGATTTGTTAAATCAACAAATCGTAAGAAAAATCATGATTTGAAGTGCACAAAACATTTGATTTGGTTTGGATGGTCGTGTATATTTTAAATCAAATCAAATGATTTAAATGATTTGAATAATGTACGATTTGACCTTTTTATTTTGATTTGAAAAAAATCTAAATCAAATCAATGAATAATCCAATATTCGAAACATCATGTTTTACATTCATTTTTTCACATTTTTGGTCGTTTAAATATTTGAAACATTGAAAAATTATTTTAAAAAACTACTTACAATTTGGGTATTTTGTTTATGTTGAATGCATTGAAGTTTGTTTTCTGTAAATTAACTTCAGGCCGTATCAAGCTTCGTATGAATGGTAAATTTGCAGTGAACAATATCGGGATTAGAATGAGAACGGCCGTTTGGGTTTTGTGACGATATTGAATTAAACAATTTTTCCACATTAGAAGACAAAATTTATCGAAAATTTCGGCAGTTTTTCGCTTTGGTTCAACTGTACCATTCTTATTGCTTGGTAATTTCACACTTTCAACAGTTTTAAATTGGTCGTTGGCGTTATTTTTGTCTGTAAAATTACACATGAACAAATATCAATGAACACAAAATGTACTATACACCAAAAAAAGGAATAAATAAATTCAATAATAATTCTTACCATTTTTACTGGATAATATCCGTTGTATCCAACTATTTGATTTCATGTTCAATGCGTTGTTTGTTTGGTATAATTTGGCTATGACCGTATGGTGTCGTATTATGCCTTATGATTCGTCGACGGTTGATAAGTAAATACTACAATTTAATAAACTATCGCATTCACAAGCACTAGAAGTTTAATCAGCATAAATTCGACCGACACATCTATATGTTAACGAATAGATGATGTACTCCATGCGATTTTTATCGTCCAAATGCATAGGCGTAGTAAGAAGTCCACAATTGGCGTGTGTATGCGTGTAAATGGACTTATGACCGGTACACACCGATCCCAACTTCCTACTGATAACAAAATTGTACACTTCTATGCAAAATTCATTATTTCACATACAGTTCAGCTGATGACAAGGTTGCAAATTATGGAATATTGTTTTGGTCAAATAACAATACAAAACGATTTTTTTAATGAATTCAGGTATGACACATTAATAATGCATCGATTGCATTATTGATGTTCGCACATACGATATTGTTCTTTTTACATATTTATGGAAAAATTAATATTAACTTACTAACACATGTTTGATGTCATCATATTCGCAACTTTGCCAGTTTTGGAGTTTGGCGTCTAGACCGATGTGTTCGGTTTAGATATATTGAAATTCAATCAGTCATTAATATTTAGTACACGCAAGGGAACTGAATGCAATGAGTAACAGTCTTTTTCGCATCATTATCTTTTTTTTCTCAAAAAGAAATCATTATCTTAAAAACGGTGATAAACAAACAAATATCTAAACATGCGCCAGGAAATTTTAACTTGAATGATTACAATATCTTCTATTCGATGTTCGAGCATTGCACGTAGTTTGTATCCAGTTTCTGTAAATTTCAAATGAACTCTAGAAATCATGGTTTCAATGACAAATGATAAGTTTTAAAAAAAATTCATTGTATTTTCCAATATGAAAGTCATTACAGTTGTATACTTAATTACTACAATATATATTTTATAGCGGTGTTGTGTTTCATGCTAAACGCAGTCTTTTTTTCATCAATTTTTGTTTTTAATTATCAAAATTAAAATAAAACAATACTTATCAACTAAACAAGAAATAAATAAAAGAGTTGAACATCAAGGCGTTTTTGGTTGTTGTGAAATATTTTGGCACCGTTTATAGTGAGTTCTTGCAAATGATAAGAACACTTGTTCAAGTGTAGTTTGACTTATCGTATAATCCTCGACGCCCAGTTCTCTTTTCACATTTTCCATGTAATCAAACAATGTGGACCATTTCAATTCGCTCGTGTGTGGCAGGTAAAACGTTAATAATCCTTGATATTGCTCTCTAAAAAACATTAATATTAAATCGTTGCCATTTCAATCGGTATGAAATCACTTACTTCAGATATGCACCAGGGAATTGATCGTGAATGAAATAGTTGATTCGGCTTATTTGTTCGCTCCTTTCAATTTGATCTTCACTTAAACGTATTTTAATTGTGAGTATGAATCCTTTTGAAAATTGACTCTTCAAATGTTGTGCCGATCCCAGACACTTGAATTCACCGTTCACCATAATTGCAATTCGGTTACAAAGTGCCTCACACTCTTCCATGCTATGCGACGTGAGTACAATTGATGTTCCTGAATTACGCACTTGTGACACAAAATCCCAAAGATTTTTTTTGCTACCGGGGTCCATACCGGAACTTGGTTCGTCTGAAGAAAAATCATTTAATTTTTTTACTAAATTGATTATTTGAAGTAAATTTTGGTTTTATACCCAAATATACTACGGATGGTGTGCCCATCAAAGCGATAGCCGTGCTGAGTTTTCTTTTGTTGCCACCTGAATAGCTTTTGATCACTTTGTCAATGTGCTTGGTGAAGTTCAATCTTTCGGCCAATCGATCGCTCATGGCAGAAATATCTTTCCTTCGATAACCGCGCAGCAAACCAAAGATTTCCAGTGTTTGCGTTCCGGTGAGATTGTCAAGCAAAGCATCGAATTGCGGGCAGTATCCTATTAATTTATGTACTTCATCCAAGTCCTTTTTTAAATTCATTCCATTGATAAAAGCATCTCCACTTGAAATGGATGTGTCACCAGTTATCATTTTAAATGTGGTAGTTTTGCCCGCACCATTCACGCCAAGCAGACCGAAACATTCCTGTCTATTTTCAAGTACAGATAGAACTAAATTATCTCGAATAGGTATCAATAATGTGACATACCTTTTGACCGCAACGCTTATTCCATTAACAGCCTTGAATTGTCCATAATATTTACTAAGATTACGAAGTACCAAATTATTGCTCTTTAAATCAGTTGATGTCATTGCGTTCACTTTGATTTTCTCATTTATCACATTGCTATCAATTGTATTGGTGACTAAAAGTGGCGGTACATTTTGTGTAAGCCCGGCAAAATGATGAAAAATGATCGGAATAATTCGATATTCGATAATCCATAGAATAGTAATGAAAATAACAGCAATTAATGTCATGTATGTGAGACTGCGACCAATTCCCGGCTCATCCCAGTCGTAAATATTTCCATCTGAAATTTGAAAGAAATTGTAAATGACATTCTCACAGCCGTAGAAAAAAATGACATACCACACTTGATGGCATTGCAACCAATGTCCGTTGTTCCATTCTTTGACATTTTTTGTAATCTTGACAAATTCAGAAGGCACACTTCATTAGAAATCCGGAAATTATTCACGTTATATAAGCTATAGGCCAATGCGTAGTGTGGAAATATGAGAAAGACTTCTTTTAACTGGTTTGCGATTTCAATTAGATTTAAAATCGGAAACATTAAAATTGAAATCAATTTGAATAAAGTCGTACCTACAAGAGCAAATAATTTCATTTATTATTTAGCCGTAACGATTTAGTACCAAATATATTGATATTAAGTCTTACCAGTGAGCAGAAAGAATATTGTCAAACTGACAAAACCGTATGATGCATTTGAAAATAAACGGGATGTGACATACGTGATAGCTAATGATGATAGGCCGAAAAGACCAAAAATCGGGAACAAAGGCCTCAATTCTTCTTCTGTTGACCAATACTTTTGTCGCATTGCAAAAATCGTGAAA